ATCTTTACAATTTTACTTTTACCACGTCAACCACAACAATGAATGCAATAAAACGTTTCTTAATTCGTTGCTATTATAAGCTTTTTCAACTTGCATTTAAATGTTATACTTGATGATTAATTGTGTGAACATGACAGAGCGTTTCTGAACTTTAAAACGTATTTATAATTGGTTTAAGTTGAATAAAACTAATTTTACGGATCGATTACGTTACTTTTAATTCTCCAAGGGTCTTGCAATCTCCCCCTGAATAACCATGGGATAACGATCAAAGTAACCGCATTCACATGCGTAAGAATTAAAATGTAAATTTAAGTAATTAAAAAATAATAATGTATTTTTTATACATAAGTAAGTTTTAGTAATTATTGATATTGTTGCTAAAATGTATGATTTTTTTTTCTTTTCTTAGATTTTTAAACAATTTAACTAACAATGATTCTATAATAATGTTATGTTACTAACCAATTTATGGACTCTTGTCTGAAATAAAGTTTATTATTATTATTATTGGGGTATCTATATCATTTTCTCAACTGGTTGGGTTCTATAAATATATAATTATAAATTAAAATGAAAAGATAAATATACATAAATATCAATAAAATAAAATAAAAACAAAAACTACATAAATAAATAAAATCCAACCAGATGGAAGCCCTCGGCAGGGGAGACCAAACGGCCGAGGGTTAGGGGAAAGGGAAAGAAACCGGCGGACGATGCGGGCGGTATCGAGGAGCACCGCCTTCTGCATTTGAGCCCGGAATGGTCCGTCACGGAGTCCCAGTCGCCTCAGATGACCCGAGAGGCTGACTGGGATTAGCCCATTCGCAGAGACGACTACAGGAATAATTTCGGTCGGCCGACCACCCCACATGTCGGTCACCTCGTGAGCCAGGTCCAGATATTTTGTTCGTTTATCTGTTTCGGCTTTTACGAGGTTCTCGTCATACGGAATGGTAATGTCGATCAAAAATATCCTTGATTGTGCCCTGTCCATCAGCACAATATCAGGCTTATTCGCAAGAATAGTCCTGTCTGTGATGATGGCCCGGTCCCAATAGAGCTTGGCGCGGTCACTTTCGAGCACGGCTTCCGGCAAGTACTTGTAATACGACAATTTTCGGTCCATGAGACCGCATTTCAGAGCGAGCTCCTGGTGTAGAATTCTAGCTACTAGGTTGTGCCTGTGCAAGTACTCAGAGTTAGAAAGCGCCGAACAACCGGAGATGACATGCCTAAGTGACTCCCCGGGATGGCGACAAGCTCGACAGACGTCAACAGTGCCATCCTTAGGATGTATCTCCGATAGTTGTTGGTCTTAATAACCTGATCCTGTATTGCACAGACAAAACCCTCGGTTTCCCCGAAGAGGTCACCGAAACGTAGCCAGTTGAGGGAGGCGGCTGTATCTACGTGAGGATCATGTAGAGCCCTGTAGTACCTCCCGTGGAGCTCCTTCTCCTTTCATACGGTCTCCCGGTCGGAAATGCTCTGTACTATCGGGTCCTGCCATTGCTCGTTGGGTAAGGATAGAGGGGTAAGTCCTTTAAGAATGGATCATCCGATCTCGCCAGGAAGTAATGACGGAGGCTGCACACTTCGCGATTATGCATGGTGAGCGCGCTCAGGAAGCCATGCCCACCATGCTTTCGCGGCAAGTACAGCCTCATTACCGACGATCTCGGATGATGCATCCTATGGGACGTCATTGAAGTGCGTACTTTTCTATCCAGGGCATTAAGTTCAGTCTGACTCCACCTGAGTAAGCCAAAGGTATACATGAGGACAGGCATGACCCAACCGTTATATGCATGTGTCTTATTCACACCGGACAAAAGGCTGTTAAGCACTTTGGTCAAGCGTGCATAAAACACGTCGCAAACCGACTGTTTCATACCAGCCTCATACGATGTTCTGTGACATACCCAGGTATCGGTATGTTTCAGCCTCGGAAAGGGCCCTTAAGTTGACGGGCATAGATAAGTCTATGCCCTCAGAGTTAGCAACCCTTCCCCTTTCAACATGGAGGACCGCACACTTATCCGTCCCCAGCTCCATTCTAATAGAATTGCTAAATTCACAAGTGATGTTTAGCAATTCCATAAGATGGGAGCGACTGGAAGCGAATAATTTGAGGTCATCCATATAGAAAAGGTGGGTCACTTTTGTACCTCCTTTCCGAAGCTGAAATCCCCTCCCGGAGCCCTCCAGTAAAGTACTGAGAGGATTCAAAGAAAGGCAGAACCAGATTGGACTCAGACAGTCGCCCTGGAATATACCCCTTCTTATCCTTATGCCGCTTTCCGCAGCCGTCATCCGCTCGCCTAGATGACAGAGGATCGTACTCCACTGCCCCATACACTGCTCGAGGAAGTCTCGAACTGTACAGTCAATCTTGTATAACTCGAGGACCCTCTTCAGCCATGTATGGAGCACCGAGTCAAATGCCTTTCTGTAATTTATCCAGGCGGCGGAGAAGTTCCGACGGCTGCGTTTCACCACTTTGCCAATGACCGCGTCAATGAGGAGTGGTTCCTTGGTTCCACGACCGCCGCCCCGACATCCATTTTGAGCGCGCGACATCACCTGATTTGAGTCCAGGTGACGAGCGATTCTCGCGCTCAAAATGGATGTTAGTGTCTTGTATATGGTTGGTAGACACGTGATGGGGCGGTATTTGCTCGGGTCTGTGGCACCCTGATCTTTAGGAACCAAATGAGTGATCCCAGTAGTGAAGAGGCTTGGGAGCGACTTCTGGTTGAGAGCCTCTTGAATCTGTCGGGCGAGCACAGCGTGACACACCATGAACCCCTTCAACCAGTAGTGATGCAGCCCGTCAAGCCCCGGACTTTTCCAGTTCGGGGCCCTACGGACCGCCTCAGCTACGTCATCCGGCGTTATGATGACGGGGTCCATGGGCGTAATACCCGCACACTGACTCGCCACAACTTCCGTCCAAGGGCCCTCGTTGTGGTTTACGGGCTCTGACCACAGGCTGCGCCAGAATGCGACCGTATCGGCCTGATTTGGTGCTGGGCCCGTTCCACTTACTATTGGTCGCTCCAATGATTTATAGAGCCTCTTCTGATCACTCTGGAAGAGACGATTCTGGTTGAACCGGGTCGACCTCTCCAGACGATTCTTTGCTTCAGGTCGTCTATGCGCTCCGTCAGTTTTTGTATTATATCCGGCTGGGACAAACTAACATTTGTCCCAGCAAACGCCATCCTGACGGTGCGCACAATCATTGGCCTGGTATTGCCTGACCTGAAGCATATCAGTCTGCCAATGAGTGCCCTAGCCTTTGCGATACGTTCTTCAATTCTTATTCTCCAGGCTGAGATAGCACTACTTTGTCCAGTAGCGCGTCCAGCCGCGGAAATTTTGGCGCCTATAATACGGCAGACTGCCAGTGCGGCGCCAAAAAGAATTGAGTCCGTCTCGCAAAGGTCCCGGCTGGCTTCCAAATAGGTAACCAGCATTGAGTTCAGAGCCCTCACGACAGCCCGATTCCGGTTGCTTTAGGGCTAAGCGGGGGAAGTCGCGGTCGATTTTCGAGAGGCATACTGCGTCCTTATATTATTATATTTATTATTATATTTATATTATTATTATTATTAATGTGTACCCGGGACAAAATGTCTGATTATGTTTTTTTTTTAACAAGAACCGTACGTACGTTTTTGTAACATATCTCATTCGATATACATATTCTTATAGGTGTACAAACTACAAACAATGCGTGTGATATGTGATGACTTAAAGATTGCGTTGGGCTGCGATTGGCTTGACCCCTCACTGCTAGCTGTTTAAAGAATCTCAAAGTCACATAACGAACTATAAAGAACTTTGTTGTTTAATTGCACGATAAAATCCATTACGAGGATACCCGCAGACGACCGAAATAAATGGTTTATTTAGTGTGAAGCGTAATCTCAACAAACTTGTGATACACAGGTGTGTGTTCATAGCATATGTGTATAAAAATAAAAATATTGAGTTATCAGATTGCAATACCGCAACGCAATATATATACACTTTTTACAAGAAGATAGGGTTCTTTTTTAGTCTGGGCGTCCGTCTGGATCGGTACCCCTTATTATTTCTACCGCTCACCAGCAGCGCACTCTAAAGTGTGAGTAATGGATGACACACACGGTCAGTTAAACTGATCGTTCCAACTGATGAGTTCACACTAGGACTGTTGATATTTTTTAAAATATCGGGTTATCGATATATCGGTAAATAAACTTATATAGGTATAAAATTCCGATATTGATATATTTTTATAATTATCGATATATCGAAAATCCGATATTTTAAAAAATATCAACAGTCCTAGTGTGAACTGATCAGTTGGAATAATCAGTTGAACTGACCGTGTGTGTCGTCCATAAGAAAGCCGATTAAATTACATTTAATCTAACTTCAGGGATTTCTTTGTTTAACTCTTACAAAGTTTAATTGACATTTAATCTATTTATATAACGTTGGGACATACACAATAATAAAAAAACCATAGGTTATAAAAATAAAACTAAACTCTTTGTTTGAAGTTAGTTGTAGTGGTGTATGGGCTCCAGTAACTACATTATAGTAAGTGTTAGCTCGTTTGTACATTTACAAGTATATAATTCTTAAAATACCAAAAAGTATGTAAACGTGATGCAACATTACATGTAATGCATAACCTATAACGAACATATACATTTTCATAATGATATCCATCCAACGCAAGTTTACTACTGAACATAGGTAGGCCTCCGCCAAGAAATGCCGTCAATCGCATTGTTTGTCAATCGTCAAAACCTCATTCGGTATTCACATTGGCGATGAGGAGGATCTGATGATTGACGGAATAGGTTGCACAGCGGGCATGCGAAGCCAATGGCCTAAACACAAAATAAAATTACATGTGCGGTTCAATAACAACGTATCGTAGGTGTATAAGATGTCAAAAATGTAATTTAATTTTCACAAAAAAATTCTTGTTTCAGATCTCGGGAGCTTATTAAGGGTGCTATTTTGGACAACGATTTCATGAAAAACTTGGAAATGACGCAAATTCGCGAAATCGTTGACTGCATGTATCCAGTTGAATATGCGGCGGGAAGTGTTATTATTAAGGAAGGGGATGTTGGCAGTATAGTCTACGTGATGGAAGGTAAGTTTAAACGAATAATAGCGTTTATTTTTTTGTATCTAAATATTTGCGTAACGCGCCCTCTAGTGTCAAGTAGAAGAACTGTTATCTATATGTTGTTAAATGTAATTTATAAGTCTTCGTTGAGTTCTTCATAGATGGCGCTGTATTCACCTTCGTTTTTTAGTGAAAAAATATTTTGTAGTAACAAGCAAGTTAACAATAACTAGGTGTTACGAGTTGTTTGTGTATTTGTGGCCGCTGTATTAAAAGTAATTAACATTTTTATTTTTGGACCAAATTATGCTATTTTACACGGTATTATAACAACAAAATAAACAATATGAGTCCGTTTTCTTAAAAAGCGGTGAACATATAAACTGACACTTTTGATATACCTATCTATATATAATATGCTAGAAGTACCTTATCGAACATCTTATATTTATTTCATAACAATGTCATCTTGGAGCATTAGTAACAAGTAAGAACTTTTCCGCATTTTAGAAAGTGGGAAATCAGACCAACTCGATTCTTACTTTTCCTGTGGTCGATATTCCTTTATAATAAACTTATACCATTTACAGTCACCCACACACAAAATAAGATAATAATGTCAATGAGGTTTTGGGTTTCAACTATTAGCTAATTGTAGAAAAGACATTATATATAATTAATATGATATTAAATTATATTTATCAAACTTAATAAGAAAACACGCCCACTAGGAGAAGATAATGAATTAGTAGGTAGTCATAGAAAGGACGCCTTTTTAATATGATAGACATGATTTATGAGAATTCGAACATATTAAATATTTAAATATAATTTGTATTTCTAGGTACCACAAAATCAAAGGCAGTTTTTTATACCTATATTAAAATAATTGTTTCTTTGTCCCTTTTGCATATTCTCATAGGATCCGTCAGATAACGATAAAACTGTGGTGACTTACTGCGTGCGCGCATCGAAAATTTCTGAATAAAAATATAATTTGTTTGTCCGTTTGTTCGTTTTCTATACGTTCCTATACTAATAATAATAATAATAATAAGTAATATTAAAAACATTTATTCATTACCACCAATAAAGTTACAGTGAGCAGTATACACAGAAATAACCAAAATTACATAGTGTAGTAATGAATGGGGTCTAGCTCAGCATAAATGTTGCAATTGCCTACAACGCTGTTATTCTGCCGGCGCTTAACAAATGAAGAGTACATTACGCGTGCATTCCTGCTTATATTACATTTAATCACAACTGTTCATATTAGAGCAAATGTCGTGTTTTCCTAAGTATTAGCGAGTATTAGCCAGTTCAAATTAATAATTAAGAAATATTTTTAATTATCATAAATGTTTTCCATAAAATTTATATTATTTATTACTATTCATTCATTATTTATTAAATTTGATTACGAAGTTTTGATTAAACGGATAGTGGCAGTGTGAGTATTTCCACTACCCCAAATCTTCCTGAGCGTCGCGTAAGAGGCGACGGAAGGAAACAAACCATGGGATGGGCAGCATCATCTTAATAACCACCAAAAAATCTACCGTGCCAACGCGCGTGGCAACTATAAAATTATCCTCTCTTAAACGTAAACTTTGGTAAGTTATTTTCACGCGCGCTCCAGCGAGTTTTTCTGCAACTGGCACAGTTAGTATAATTTGCCCTTTTTCGAAAACATTTTTTCTTTGTCTTAAGGTGAAATAAAACAGGCAAAAAAATTAAGATGTATAGAATGCATGAACGATTTTTGATATCTCTTTAGAAAAAAATATCATATTATGACGTATTATTATAATATACATGATGAGGTTAGATTATACGTGGTTAGACATACTGTATAATTATTTACAAAGTATCATAAATAAGTTTAATTTAGTTAAAATATGAGGCGTGACATCTCAGATTGGTTTTATCCCTGTAGCACCAATATAATTATTATTAATTTCAATTATAGGTGATTATTTTCTACTTTTTACCATTTTCTTGCTCTAAAACTCTCTCAAAACGAGAAAATGTTTGTGCCGAACTGTGCCTGTGGGACGTTTGTACGCCGTAACTTTACATTTATTTTTATAACTAAGTTTACTTCTAACTTGGAATTCCATTTAAATTTCATGTCATATCGCCACGTCAACTATATTAGGAAAGAAGGAAAAGCGGCCGCAAGTGAAACAGTTTGGTAACTCAGTCGATGTACACAATCTACACCTTTAACCTGTCACGTTGTTAGTAACATGGATATGAATGTTTTGATGTAATGATGGACGATACATCTGTTGCTTAACATTTCGTTAGAATTACGTTTAAAAAATGTAGATGGTCTGGTAATTTTTTAATTATATATAAATTAATACTATATTTGAAGTGAAAACTTCTTTAGAATTTAGAATCGTTGCGATTTGAAATTCGATCATACGAAAAAGTGACACTAAAAATAGACAAACATATACATCTATAGGATTTAACCAGCGAGAAAATGAGATAGAATACAACATACATTGTATATTGTTTCCTATTATATCGGTCTCCTCTTTGTTTGGTGCATTGAGCTATTATGTACCACGTACTAGAGGCGGCACTGCATTCAGCTACTGTGTACCACTCAACTGCGGTGTATACACCGCACTTCCCACTTTAATCAGTCACTCGCTAGGCGCTTGTAGAGTTGCTCGCTAGGAGCTTGTGTTGATTTAAAAAAAATCTCTTGACAAAAATATGCCGTCGTGTGTACTTAGATATTGCACAAATAATTCAAGAAATGTCAGTAAAATCAAGGAATTACTTTTCATCGGGTAATAACATACTTAATCAATAAAAAAGTATTATAGATTTATAATAAAACAAATTATTCCTAAGATGCCATCTCGTGTCATGGAATATAGATTATGAAATTAACATGTTCAGATGCGACTTTTTTGTAGAAACATATATAAGTTATTATAATTAGGCTAAATTTTTCAAGTTTAAATCTGCTTATTATTCTTTTATTTTATTTTTAGGTTTCCACATCAAAGTCAAAGTGGAAAAAATTCGTCCATTTTTAACTCTCGCATGCCCAGCATTTATGAACGACTCTTATTCTAATTTAAATAAATATATTTGTAATTTAAATGTTATGTTAATAAGTTTTTTTTTAACATGCATTAAGTACGTTTTTTATATTTGACGTAGAGATACCTTTTAAAATATTCAGATAAAAATATCATTAAAATGTAATTGTGATATAATATTATGTAATATTATATTAAATAAGCAAATATAATATACAAAATAAATGACAAAATTTAAATACCGTTCTCGATATATTTTACCTATTTAACAATACAATCTACTATTACCTACGGATCATTCTACCTATGTTTATTCTATGAATAAAAAAAACAACCGCGCGAACACAGAGTAGCGCACATTTTTTGTTTGAGATGGCTGTTCTAGTACGTAAGTACATATTACTTCAATGGTTTGGTGCTTTAAAATGATTAATGTAGGTAACTTTTAACTGTTAAAAATTTATTCAATAAAATTATCTTAACCAATCCGTTCATAACAATCCACGATTTCATAACATATTAGTTTAGGTTAGGCCATCTAGCATCTATTTTACGCACCAGCTTAAGAATCAATCAATTTTTGTTCGATAAAATGACTTTAACGATAGAAAAAAGTAGATAGCGCAATTACAAAGCAATTTTGTCGCAATTTTATGAAGGTTTCACTTCTACCGCGTGAGAACTGCGCACATGTCTTTTTTTTAATTGTAAATAAACATTACTACTTCCACAGATGTTTTTAAAATTAAAAATCATATTAAATGGTCCATAAATGACTATTACTTATGTAATTTTTCTTCACGTCACAGTAAATTCAAAATGTAACAATATTTTTGTGATATCGATGATCTACGATTCAAATAACCCAATTATCGCCTTTACCGCGTCGTCAAGGTAAAGTAATTATGCGAGGGCAATACCGAAGGTCGGCATTGTTCTGTGTGAATAGTTCTCATCCGTACAAACATCGGGCGAAACAATTTGCTCGCGTGAGTGTCTTGTTAATAATAGGTACTGTTTCCAAGCGACTATTAGTTTCATATTAAAAAAAGACAATTATATTTATCTACATCCGGGTTCTATACAATACTCGTGGTATTTTGAGAAAAAAAACAACCTATTGAAATTGTTGTAATAGTTTAATCCTCAGATTATAAAATTCTATAATCTGAAGTTTAATCTATTTTAGAATATTTGGACGTTATACCGAAATGGGCAGCAGTATCTTCCTAAAAACAATTAATTACTTATGGCCAGCAATTTTTCTACTTCTTTAAAATATAAAGTTTTACAAAAGCAAAGTAGCTACATAAAATTTACCGAAATAGAAATTCTTCAATCCGTAAAAAATACAAAACCTTTTTCCATATAAAGCAGGATTCAAAATAGAAGCTACGTTTGGCCAGGCAAACTTTATTTCGCAATATCTAAATATATAAAATTAAATATAAAATATATATAAAATAAATAATAATTATTAAATGATTTATAAAATTGTTATATAATCATTATAATATATTTCTCAATTGTAAAATATTATCTACTTTGGAAAAAAATTGCGCTTAGTTCTTTGTTGGTCCTTTCAAGAAATGGGGGGTTATTTTTCTGAAACGGTGGTAGAAGTAAAAAGTGACTTTCAACTAGTATTGTTTTATTATTTATGTATTCTATTCTACTGAAAAAAAGTTTTACACCATTGACGATGCTAAGAAAGCACGAAAGCGTCAGCTTGACAAGAAAAGGCCACGCTCATATAAAATACCAGCCATAATTTTTTTAAATACCCTAATATTAAGATTTCTGTGATACCAGCCTAACCTAGCATCAAATAAGACGTAGGTCGCGCCTACTGATGTTATATATCCGGTCCAGCTGATGAGGTTGATACAGAGGATCGAAATGTGCTTGAAGATGAGTTTACGGATGCGTTTTCAGAGTTGCAAACGGAATTGGCGA